CGATGATTGATAATAATATAGAGTTGGAAGGGACCTTAGAGATCACTAGTCCAGCCCCCTGCTCACGCAAGAAATCCTATACCATTTCAGACAAAATGGCTGTTCAGTCTTTTCTTAAAAACTTCCAGTGTTGGAGCATTCACAGATTCTGGAGGCAGATTGTTCCACTGATTAATTGTTCTGACTGTCAGGAAATTTCGCCTTAGTTCTATGTTGCTCCTCTCCTTGATTAGTTTCCATCCATTGCTTCTTGTCTTGCCTTCAGGTGCTTTGGATAATAGCTTGACTCCCTCTTCTTTGTGCAACCCCTAAGATATTAGAACACTGTTGTCCTGTCATCCCTAGTCCTTCTCTTCACTAAACTAAACATATCCAATTCCAGCAAGCGTTCCTTATATGTTTTAGCTTCCAGTTCCCTGATCATCTTTGTTGCTCTTCTCTGTACTCTTTCTAGAATCTCAACATCTTTTTTAAATCATAGTGACCAAAACTGGATGCAGTATTCCAAGTGTGGCCTTACCAAGGCATTGGTATTAACATGTCATGTGAATAATCATGTTCCAAGACAGGTTAATCTAGAGTCACACAATCAGCTCTATTAATACTCTTCAGTCTGCTTTCTACTTATGTTATTTTTTCATATGTTCAATTACAAACTGTTCTGCTTTCTGTAACTTATTCATTTCTAACTGTGCAAGTTTATTTAAATTGTGTACAGATACTTCTCTTCCAGCCTGCCCATTAGGGTCGAAGGTCAAGGTGCCTCAAGTAATGACCAGCATCCCTGCTTTCCCCAATTAGTTAGGGCACTAAGCGCTAGCTCACTTACCTCAGTCCTCCCATGGCCACCACCATGCCATGCTTCCCACCCTTTGGGTGCCTTGCATACCAGCCCTTACCAGTGAGAAATAATAGACCCTTCTCTCAGTCACTTGCACTCTGGTCATGTCTGAACTGTTGCAATGTGCTTTATATGGACTACTCTTGAAAAATATCCAGAAGCTTCTGCTGATACAAAATATGGCTGTACGAGCAATTTTGGGCACCCCACAGATGGACACCACTAACACTTCCACTGTGCAAGCTGCACTGGGTGTTGTTTTGCTTTTAAGTATAATTCAAGTTGTTGAATTTAAAATCCCCCATGGCTTGGGGCCAAGTTACCTGCAGAACTCATTACATCAGCCCACCCTACTTGATGTGGCAGGAAAATTATGTTATAGATGCCATCAGTTAAAGAATTTTGACTGGCAGGATCCAGAAAGACATTTTACCTAATGCCTTTGCCCTTTGAAATATCCTTCCTGCAGAGGTGAGGCAAACCCAATTCTCCTGATCTTTTAGAAGAGTTTGAAAGCTGATTCTGCTAACTTGCTTAGAGCTCATAGGACAGTATGCATCTTGGAATTAGCTAGCTCCTTGAAGGCCCTCTCCCCACCTTTTTAGCTTTAATTGTTCTACTCTTGTTTTACCTTCTCCTATTGAAATATATTTATTTTTTATATTGTTAATTGTACAATGCACAGAGTCATTCTATGAGTGAGATGGTGGTCTCTAAATTTGATGTATAAAAATAAAACGATTGATAGATAACATTCTGTTCTGTGCGTTGGTAAGGCATTGAGACGAGGCATGAGTAACAACAGTTGCTTCTTTATTTAATCTTCAACAGAACAACACAAAATGGCGCGGATCCCTTTTATACCCCCTTACAGGGAGCAACATCAACCAATCAATGCAACGTATTTTTCCTGCCTTGCGCATGCGCCATAGGCTAGAGACAGCCTGTCTGGCCTGGGCAGCCACGTGGTCTGTCCGGGTCTCTCTGCAGCTTCCTGCACCTGCTGTGTCAATCACAGCCCCAGACATAACAGATAAATAGTTAGATAGATAGATAGATAGATAGATAGATAGATAGATAGATAGATAGATAGATAGATAGATAAGATAGAATCCCTTGCATTTCAACTGATTGCAGCCTATCTACCATGTTCATCTGTCAATAATAATTTCAATTTTAATTGTAGATTAATATATAAAATAACTTCAGTATTCTTTTTAAAACCTGCAAATATAAATTCTTCACCAAGTATTTCTTAAACATGAAATACTTAACATCTTTTTTTCTTATTTCTGTTTTTTGTAAACAAATTATATCTTGCTTCAAATTTCTCAAAGAGTGGAAATAGTTTGTCTTTTGAGGATCATTTGCTCCATTTACATTCTATGTTAGAAATTTATAATCCATTTTCAAGAGAAAAATTGATTAAAGTCCTTAGCTGCAGCTTCCAAAGTAAAATCCCTTTTCTCAATGTCTTTAGTTAATTGTGGTCCTATGAATCTTTATAAGCAATCTCCATAAAAGTTTGATCCAGCTCATCCTTAACATTTTCCCATAAAGCCTTTAGCTTTTTGAAAGATACTCAGTCTGTATCTTTATTGCTGGAAATTAAAAACTATTGCCTCCAACTTTTCCCAGTGAAATGGAATTCTTTTTGCTTCAAAATGTCTGTTAGGAAGAAATAATATTTCCTCTTATGCATGATCATAATAGGAGTCTTCTTCAAAACAGTTACATCAATGTTATCACTCTTCAGTCTTGCCTCATAGTGACATTGATCCCTTGTATTTTCCTCAGAAAATATGCCAAAACATCTCTTGATGTTTGTTTCATTACAGCAAAACATGAATTCATGGGGAAACACCTTGTTCAACCTTTTCTTCATCCTTTCCTCTTTACAAGTCAATAACTCAGTAAAGTTTTTTTCATATATTTGCAGAAGAATTTCTAGGAATCACTCTGAACCACAGACAAAATTCCTTTTCTCTGAGTTCCCACATAGTCAAATTATCCAAACTTTAATTCCAAGTCCCTTCCCCCCCTAAAAAGTCAATCCTGTCATTCACTTGCTTAATTACCCTAAGTTCCAATATCTCAGGGGTTACCACAAAGAAGTCAAGCTATTCTCCAAAGCATCTGAAGAAGCAATGGATGGAAACTAATCAAAGAGAGAAGCAACCTAGAACTAAGGAGAAATTTCCTGATGGTTAGAACAATTAACCAGTGGAACAACCTGCCTCCAGAAGTGGTGAATGCTCCAACACTGGAAGTTTTTAAGAAGAGACTGGACAGCCGTTTGTCTGAAATGGTATAGGGTTTCCTGCCTGAGCAGGGGGTTGGACTAGAAGACCACCAAGATCACTTCCAACTCTATTGCTGCTGCTGCTGCTGCTGCTGCTGTTGTTGTTACCCCTGAAATCTTATTCAAACTTTTTTCAAATTTAGCTTCTAGAGATTGTGTCAGTCTTGTACTCAAATAATCAAACATTGCTTTCATAAGGTTCAGTGGGATTGTAGGATACAATTTGGATCCAACCCAGATTGGATCCTGTAACATTATCTTGGGACACATATTTTTGTTTTCAATGGATTGGTTCATCTCCAGAACCTTATTTGGTACCTTTATGTATAGTCATGGTTTATAGCACACTCTGTTGGTAAAAGATAAAATAGTAGCTCTTAATTGAAAAAATGAAGTCCTTTGTTTATAGATCCAGCCAGTTGGCAAGGTAGATTTAAAAAAAGTACAAAGACAGGCTATAATCCCATAGCATAGATTTATTAAGGAATACATTTTCAAGTTCCATTTTGTAAAAAATAAAATTAATTCTTTCTATTTAAATGCTTTTAGTCTCTTTTGTTTCCAAGTTTTTGCAAGTCAAGGAGTTACTAATAAAAATTTCCAATATTCAATTTAAATGGAGCTCCAGAAATAATAATAAAAAAAGTCTCCATAGAGAATTACTTTATTCAAAAGCTTCAGCCTTAGTTTCAAAGATGTATAAATCTAAAAAGTGATTTAGAAATAACAGAATAACAGAGTTGGGAGGAACCTTGAATGTCTTTTAGTCCAATTCCTGTCTGTTCCTATGTTGCAGTTATGCAAGGTCTTTGCTTAACAAGCTGCATAGTCCTTGAGTTATAATGACAACTGGGATTGCTGGTATTGTTATTGCTAAATGATGTAATCACATGACATCAGGCTTTACAACCGCATCACTTAGCAATGGAAATTCCAGCCCCAATTGCTACTGTAACCTAAGGTCTGCTTGTATTAAACAGAAATACAATATTGCTATGCCAATTTTACAGATTTCTTCACTTTCCAAATTGGCTTCTGTAACATGTTCTACATAAGGCTGTCCTTGAAAAGTACTCAAAACTTTCAGCTGGGCCAAAATTGGTGGCACTGGCAACTCTATCTCTCCTTAGTAGGATGACACTGTTCCATGAGCCACATTGATTACCAGTTTGCTTCCAAGTCCAATTGAAACTGCAGGTTTTGTCCTTTAAAATTTTAACATAGCAGGGGCCAGGTTATTTGAGGTACAGGCTTTCCCCAATGATATCTACCTGTCCCATCAGGTTCAGAAGGAGAGGCACGTCATGTCACTCCTAAGAGACAAGACTTTTCTGCAGCGGCATCTGCCCATTTTCATTCCCCACCCCAGGTGAAGTTAACCCTTATGACCTTCTAGAAATCCCTTAAAATGTGTTTTTTCCCAACAGGCCTGGGAATTTCCTGGCAACATAAAATCTTTGTGCTCAGTGCATCATATATAACATTCCTATGCATTCCTTCTTATGATCTTGATTTTATGAATATTTAATATTTTAATATGATCTTGTAGAATTTTTAATTTTTTTAATGTAGTTTTGCAGAACGTTTTATTTTATGTCGCTTGGTGTGAAATGGACATCCATATAATTTTTTTAAAAAAATAAAAAAGCAAAAGCTCTAAAATTGTTAAAATATGTGGAAACCCACAATATGTATAATATGATACAGCTAGCTTTTTGTTTCCCTCTCTATAGAAACACCTTAGTTATGTAGCATTATATAGAACTTCTCTACTTATGGACTGATGCAGAATTTTGTTTTTTAGGATGAGTTTTTAGTTATAGTAACTAACCAATTGTAATTATTTTTATATTGCAGTCAACTCATATTGCTAGAGTCAGCTTCCAGGTTGATGCTTTTGGATCTTCTTTCATCCTAGATATAGAATTAAATCAGTAAGTATATAAATATATTCATTTTATTTGATTTTTAAGTATTAGATGAAGTTTTATTTTAAAAATACTTTCCAGTATTGCTCTTTAATATTTTTATTTAAAGCTTATAAATTACCATTCTGTTCAAAGCTGGACTGACAAGCTGATACCTGAAATCAAATATGGATGTTTTTACTATCCAGAAAAAGTTAGCAGTAGTTTAACTCTCAAGTAAACATATTGGAGAGAGTAAATATATTGGTGTAACAGTTAAAGCATCAGGCTAGAAACCAGAAGAGTGTGAGTTCAAGTCCTGCTTTTGACATAGCATCAAATTTGTACGAGATGGAAGAAGGACTTCCAAGGTCTGTCCTATTCCTATGATTCTGGGAGGGCAGCTGGATGATCTTAGGCTAATCACTCTCTCAGAAGATGAAGGTAATGTCAAACCACTTCCAAAATCTTGCTGAGAAAATTACAAGGACTTGTTCAGATAGTTGCCCGAAGTTAAAAACTGATATGTAGGCACTCCACAAACCAACCAACCAACCAACCAACCAACCAACCAACCAACCAACCAACCAACCAACCAACCAACTTGATAAGTTAATATATTGTAAATGTGTTACATTATATGTGTTTGTTCTAACAGTGTATGCAAATCTTTTTAGAATTTGAATGTTTGACAAGTGAATGATTGCTAAACGGGAAAGGGACAGGTGTAAAAGTGTGAGAAACAAAATATCTGCAATATGTTTGGGCAGTTTTTTCCTTGCTTTTTGTTAATAAGCAACCATAAACCTGTCTTAACTTTTCTTGGTAAACAGTGTATAACATTTATATTGAACTATGAATCAAAAATATACTTTGCCATGCAACAGTAATAGCTTATACAAAAATGAGCAACTTCAGTAGAAGTGGTAGCAAGGAAATAAATTTTTATACAATTAGATTTAGTAAATCCATAAAAAACAGAAAGCCAAGTGAACTGAGCACTGACCAAGAGGCCCTGGAAATGTTCTAGTATGTTAATTAACATGCTTTATAAAAAGTTTATGTACCACAACGAGAACTTGTCTGTATGAATCAGACTTATGTATTATAAAGCTACTGTGAAAAGGGAATCATTTTATGGAAGTGTATTAGGGAGAGTTGAGCTTGATTCTTAGAGACAGTATCCGTGCAATCGTAATATAGAAATGGTTTGTAATTGCTGCCTTCTGGATCCTTCCATTTAGCCTACATTCCACGGCGATTCAGGCCAGGCCCTGTTTAGTTTTTAAAGTTCCAGAGATGGCTAGAAGCTGCCACCTTCTGAAGCTAGTAAAACCAAAAAAATAATAAATCAAGAAGTCTCCAATAAATCCCACATCCACTTAGGTGGCATGCCAAATTGTAGTTCATTCAATAAGCCAATAATAAATTACAATTTATTGTGGAATTTCCCCAAATATAAGCATTTTTGAGTTTCACAGTTGACTTCATATTTGCTGTTTGTTGTCAATGTCATAGTGCAGAACACTTGGGAATCAAAATGTGGATATCTTATATATCCCGAACTGGAATACATCTGGAAGACATTAGACTGGACAAAGTTTTTCTAGATTAACTGGGATTTGAGTATAATAGTAAGCTATAGCCTCCCCTCCCCACTCCCAAAAAAGCAAGAAAATGTGGAGAAGTAAAGTTCATACAGCAAATTTATGCATCCAGTTAATTGAGACAAAAATATAGCGGTCTGCTATTCTGCTGAGAAAAAACATTCATATGACATGCTGGAACAACCCATACTGCTATCTCAGTGGCACTTAGGGCATGGAGTTTTTCTGATCTACATAGTGCTTTCTTTACAAGGCTTAACATACTTTATAATGCCAAAAATTAAGATTTTTTTCAGATGATATTAGAAGATATACTAAGAGTTTGATTACTCACTTAGTAAAATGTTTTTTTCATATGTGTATTCTTTTCTCCATAGAAATTTCTGAGACTGCAGTTTTGGCCATAAAATATGGCTATGTGTGGCTTGTATAAATTCTATATGTTTTTAGTTATATCTGCGGAAGGTTGCCTTGAGTTCTTTGACAAATGCAGTCTACATGGCAGACATGATAGCAATCACTCAGTCAAGAGATTTTACCAATTTTGTAAATAACAGCCTTGTAGAGCATTATGCATACTTGGAACATTTTGTCTCTTGTGCAAGGCAACAATTTTAGCTAAATCTAGTAGTAATAAGCTTTAAAGATTCTATGACATTTACTCTAGCACACTGGCAATCTCTGTCATGAATATGTATCATTGAGGATTACTTTGCGTCTTAGTGAAAATTTGTTGTTAATATATTATATGCTGCCTGGTACATACTTTAGTGTTATTAGATAAGTCAATATATAGGTAGATACAAAAACAGCAGACAGACACATTGATAACTATAGATGTATATAGGTGATATGTATATGTATACATATATGCAAAGAAAGAGTACAATTGGTTAAATGTGATGTTTTCCATTCCCATATGAATTTGTATATTTTTTTCAGTTTTTTCCCCTGACAATATTCTTTGCCAAAAATGAATAAGGGAATCACTATGGTTTTTTTTAAAGTATAATAAAAAAAGCTTGAAAAATACTATATTTCCAAGTAAGCTGATTTTAGGAGATTTATAGATTTATTTTTAAAACTTCTTTTTTTATGCAATCTGCTCTAACAGTCTGATCACAAAGAAGTAATCCTGCTTAGTATAATGATAAATGTAAAAGCTAACATTTCATAAATGTATATTATTATTATGGTGAATGAAACAATATTTTTGAAATGTCTAGTATTTAAATTTATATAGTGTTATGGTTTAAAAATTCAGTTTTCTTTCTCCCAGTGTCAAGGACTGTTTCATTATTTAAAATTGTCTTTAAGTTAGAAAAAGGAAAAAAATCTTATCTACAGGTTTGCCATTTAAAAACCATAATTTACATTTAAATGGCACTTATATGTCAGCAATTATTGCATTTTTTCTTAAAAGTGCATGTGAAAGCATACTGAGGTTTTGAGATTTTTTTAATTTATGTCTGTAATTTAAATGCAATTTTCATTTAGTACTGTAAAAATAATATAGCAATCTTTCTAATTTCTAATACATTTAGAATAAATGGAAAAATTGCAACAGTTCTTTAAATAAACCTAAATGAAAACACAATTGTATTGGAATTAAATAAAATATATCTATCTATTTTTATTTAAATTTAGGCTTGAATCATATATCAGGGGTATATAGATAGAGATATAGATATAGATATAGATATAGATATAGATCAGGGGTGTCAAACTGCCGGCCAAGACAGCTCCGATCACACTTTGCTCGCACAAGCACGAAGCCAAAGACCCCAGCCTGAAGATGATGAGTGGGACCTTGTCGAAACGTCGCCAAGATACTCTCAATCTTACATGGGAAAAGACCCGAATACACCAAGACCTGCATACCTATACTCGTGAAAAGCTACGAAAACATGTGTGTGTGTGTGTGTGTGTGTGTGTGTGTGTGTGTGTGTGTGCGCATGTATATGTATATATGTATATGTTGACCTTCTCAAATTGCAAAAGTTTCAAGGGGCATGCTGAGTTTTGGTATGTTTAATTAGCCAGGAGATTTATGCAGTTTTTTTGGGAGTCAGATTAGTAGAGGGGTTTAGAATTTCTCCCTCTGACTGCTGACGTACAAAATCTGTTTTCTATATGCATGTAAACAGTTAGAGTACCGTAGTGTATTTCCTTAGGAAATTTCTTTGGATACTGCATAACTTTTGCTGCCAGTGTTTAGGTGCTGGATGCAGAATCACTATTATTGAAATCCTCAAAATTTGTTGGAATTTTACATCTGGAATTTTAAGAATGTCTTGGGCATACTCATAAATGGTCTGCCATGGTTGTCACCAGCAACCATAAAAATACCTATATGGCCAGTTAGGAACAGCCTTTGCAGTAACTGAAACTTTTCCAAAGAATACAGTTGTTTTAACACTTCAACCAGAGATGTTTTCCCATGTACTTCCATGGTCTGCAATGCTTTGCCCAACTGGCTATTTGTCAGAAAGTTCTCATGATATGAATTTAGATTAACTTTCTGTGTTCTGGTAGTTTATATTGTTCCAGGTGATAGGCTGCCATTTTAGTTGTGAAAGAAAGAAAATACGAAAACTTTGATATGAAGTGCTCTGGGATATCCATTTTATTAAAGTCATTCCCTTGTATATAGGGAATAGGTCTATTGTAAGAATTTTAATATATTCCTTCCATCTCTGATTTTTTTGAACCAGTTACTGTATGTCCATAGGGATCTTTTAATGTACCAATCTGAGTTTGGAGCGTTCTTTTAATTTGGAGATCCTTTGGGAAACTTTCCCTGTTTCTGATTTCAGTGTATTTAGAGAAATTGTTGTAATACTGCTCAAGCTCCCTGAAATTCTTTGTTAAGTTTCTTCATATCTTTGTCTTTCTTGGCTTTAGCTTGTCTCTCTTTATTGGAAATTCTCACTGTTTATTCTGGCATATACAAGTAATCACTGAGTTACGACAATTCACTTAGTGACTATTCAAAGCTATGATCTAACCACCCCCCAGTAGTTACAACAGTGCTGAAATTACAAATGTTGCAGCATGATGGCAGTCATTCACACTAATAATACAAATGACTGCAGAGTCTCTGCAACATTTGCCCTGCCTATTCCTCCATTCCCTGCTGGGTCTCTACAGGTACTAGGTCTGTGGATACTCTCATTGCGATGATCCAGGGAACCTTCCATTTCTTGGCCTTTTCGTTGCTTCGGGCCTTCAGTGCATTTGCAGAGAATGGAGGCCTACTGATCTCACGTCATCTCACAGTACTTTAGGCCTCTATTCTCTGCAAATGGAGGCCTGGATGAGATCTGTCGCAAAAGGCTTTGCGAACAGCGGGAAGGCCTGAAATATTGAAACAACTGTGTGTGTCCCTCCAGGCCTCCTTTCTCGACAGCAATAGAGATCCATTTTTGCCAGCAAAGTGCTTGAGGTGGCC